CTCTGGGATCATTTTCGACTCCTGGTTCACCAAATGGGAAGACATTTTCCGAGTCGAATTTGCCAACGAACCGGACGACTGGAAGGTCCGCCGGCTCATCCGTAAATTGGGTGCCAAAGAACATGAGCACTACCAGAACGCCATCCTGCCAAAGTGCCCCAGAGACTTTCCATTTGACGAGACGGTCAAACAACTATCAGACACTTTGGCGAGAAGCTAACCCTGTTCAATATCCGTTACCAATGTATGAAGCTGGTGAAAAACGACGTTGACGACTTCCAAACGTACGCCAGCCTTGTCAATCGGGAGTGTGAGCGGTTCAAACTGCGCTCCATGACCGAAGACCACTTCAAATGCCTCATATTCTTGTGTGGGCTCCAGTCACCCAGAGATGCCGAAATCAGAACCCGACTCCTGAACACTATCGAACAGGATCCCAACGCCAATATGCGAACGCTGACAGCCGAGTGCCACAGAATTCTGAACCTCAAACAAGATTCTGCTCTAGTCCAGGATTCCCAGCGCACTTCCAGAAATGTACACACGGTATCTTTCAGCAAGTCCCAGGATCCCCCGAAATCCCGCCACTCCAGCGCCGACAACAAACGCAAACCACCCACACCGTGTCACTTTCACAGATTCTGCCCATTTCGTCAACATCGGTGCCAACAGTGTCACAGAATGGGTCACGAAGGTTTCTGCCAGCCTCAAGCAAGCCGCCGATCAAGTCCGCGTTCATCGTCCAAGCCGCGACGCCCTCGTCTATCGCGCAACCGCACCAGCAGCCTACTTGCCACTTTCAAAGTAGACGCAGCCTACCATCGTCGATTTGTCTGTGCACATCAACAACTATCCAGTCCGCCTCCAAATCGAGGCGGCGTCCGACATAACCATCATCTCTCGTCGTCTATGGCAGTCTTTGGGTCGTCCTACTCTCTATCAGACAACTGAAACCGCCACCAGTGCCTGCGGTGGATCCCTGAAGCTACTCGGTAGAGTAGCCTGCACCGTCACTTTCAATGACAAATCTATCGTCGAAGACTGCTTTGTGACACAAACCCACCTCACCCTAATCGGCATTTATTGGCTGCANTCAGAGATGCAGAAATCAGAACCCGACTCCTGAACGATATCGAACGGGATCCCAACGCCAATCTGCGAACGCTGACATCCAAGTGCCAGAGAATTCTGAACATCAAACAAAATTCTGCCCTGGTCCAGGATTCCGAGCGCACTGCCAGAAATGTACTCACGGTGTCTTTCAGCAAGTCCCCGGATCCCGCGAGATCCCGCCACTCCACCGCCCACACCGTGTCACTTTTGCGGCTCGTGGCACTTTCACAGGTTTTGCCCATTCCGTCAACATCGGTGCCAACAGTGTCACAAAATGGGTCACAAAGAAAGTTTCTGCCCGCCTCAAACAAGCCGCCGATCAAGTCCGCGTTCATCGTCCAAGCCGCGACGTCCTCGTCCGTCGCGCAACCGCACCAGCAGCCTACTCGTCACGTTCAAAGTAGACGCAGCCTCCCATCGACGATTTGTCTGTGTACATCAAAAACCATCCGGTCCGCCTCCAAATCGACACGGTGTCCGACATAACCATCATCTCTCGTCGTCTACGGCAGTTTTTGGGTCGTCCTACTCTCCATCCGACAACTGAAACCGCCACCAGTGTCTGCGGTGGATCCCTGCAACTACTCGGTAGAGTAGCCTGTACCGTCATTTTCAATGAAAAATCTATCGTCGGAGACTGCTTTGTGACACAAACCCACCTCAACCTAATCGGTATTGATTGGCTGGAACCATTGGGGCTACTGGACGTGCCCATCAGTTCTGTGTGCAACTCTGTATTGTCCAGTTCGGAGAGCACCGAGATGTCCCGCCACGTTGCCCTTGGCCTCTGCAATTGTGCCCAAGCATCGTTGGAACTTCTCCCAAACGCAACCCCGGTCTTCTGACCCGAACATACAGTATCATACGCTGCATTACCCCTGGTCGAACGAGAACTCCAGCGTTTGGAGAAATCCGGCATCCTGGATCCGGTCACAATTTTCATATGGGCAGCCCCGATCGTTGTCAAAAAGTCTAATGGTTCGATACGCATCTGTGCAGATTTCTCAACCGCGCTAAACGCCGCATTGCAATCAGACTGTTATCCATTACCCACACCTGAGGACATATTTACTATCCTCTCGGGTGGCAAATACTTTGCCAAAATGGACTTGGCCGACTCATACTTCCAGATCGAAGTCAGCCCTGACTCCAGAGAACTGCTCACAATCAACACGCACCGCGGTCTCTACCAGTACACGTGACTACCATTTGGCGTGAAGACGGTACCGGTTAAATTTCCAAAGATCATGGATTCCACGATATCCGGTCTCCCAGGCACAACCGCTTGCCTCGACGATATTGTCGTCGTTGGACAATCACCGGAGCAGTTGAAAGAACGCCTCGAAGCACTCCTCAAGCGTATTCAGTCCACCGGATTCAAACAGATCCGAAAAGTGCTAGTTTTTCCTGCGTTCCATCAAGTATTTGGGTTTTATCTTCGACACATCCGGTCGCCGGCCAGACCCATAAAACATCCGCGCAATATTGGATATGCCTGAACCTCGAGAAGTCAAGTCACTCCGATCCTTCCTCGGTCTTGTCACATATTACGGTGTTTTTGCCCTCTCTGCACGAGATGCGAGCACCTCTCAACAACCTCCTCCGTCAGGATATGGTATGGGGGTGGTCACCTACCTGCCAAGCAGCCTTCAACAAGTTGAAACGGATGCTAGCCTCGAAACCACTGGTGAAGCATTACGACCCAAGCCTACTAATCACAGTCGCCGCCGATGCATCCCAATTTAGGGTCGGAACCGTCATCTCCCATACGTCCCCAGATGGATCCGCCAAGGCGATTGCTCATACATCTCGCACGCTATCGGCAGCTGAGAAAAACTATGGACAAGNGGACAAGTGAAGAAAGAAGCGCTGGCCATCGTCTTCACCGTGAAAAAGTTCCATAAGTTCTTGTACGGCAGACGTTTCACGCCCCTCACGGACCACAAGCCCTTACCGTCCATATTCGGGTCAAAGAAAGGCGTTCCAGCATACTCCACCAGCCGACTGCAACGTTGGGCTACCATACTACGGGGTATGATTTCGATATCCAGTACCGCCGCACAGCAGAATTCGGACAAGCAGATGGATTGTCTCGCCTCATCGGAACCCACCAAATGGGTGATGAAGATAACGTGATCGCAGCCGTCCAAATCGAGGAGGACGTCCAACGTCAACTGGCAGACAGCATCAGAGGCATTCCAGTCACTGCCTCCGAAATACGTGATGCAACCAAACGAAACCCCGTACTCCAAAAGGTGATGAAGGGCATCAACACCTCCTGGCCACAGAAGAGCACCGCTGGAGATCTCACGCATTTCTTCCGACGCCGTCATTCCCTGTCCGTCGTCGACGAGTGTGTCATGTATTCCGATCGTGTGGTTGTCCCTGCGTCCCTCCGCCGAACCGTCCTCCGCCAATTCCACTCCGGACATCCCGGCATATCCAGAACGAAGGCACTCGGACGCGGCTATGCATACTGGCCCGCAATGGATACAGACATGGAGCAGACTGTGAACCAGTGATCTCGCTGCCAAGAAGCCGCAAAACTTCCAGCTCGACAACCACATTCACCATGGCCTAAACCAGAGACACCATGGTCTCGGCTGCACATCGATTTCGCTGGGCCAATCAATGGGATCT